CCTGTGTGGCTCCTGTACATGAGTATTCTCATAACCTTACAGAAGTCTTGGGTGACTCTAGAAATACTGGGCAAGGGCCAGGGATTTAGCTCAGTGTCACTGTGCCTGTCTCACAAGTGCAAGGTGCTGAGTTTGATCTCCAGTACCAATAAATACATATGTGCAAATAAAAATAGCAGGCAAACAAATTATATTTGTCTACCACACAGGGGTGATTTTTCAATCCTAGTTTCTTATTGGAGTGAGATTTCCTCCTGATTCTAAAGTGTTGTAGGCCTTGAAAGAGTAAACCAGATTCTTTTACCCCCACTCTGAACTGCTGTTTGGAAGATAACCTTTTCCAAGCAGCCTTTATAGTGATACTGGAGTACCTAAAGCGAGTAATTGGAAGAGATATATCCTCCCCTACTTAGTGCAACTCTAACATTCTTACTTTTGGCAGCCTGTTGCCTAGATGCTAGGGACTCAGGCAGCCTGATCCAATGGGAGTCAGGCTCTGCCAGGAGTTGATCCTCAAGCATAGTGTGACACTCAGCATGCCAGGGAGGGCTATTAAGGCCACTCCAGTAGTCCATTCAACTAAAGGACCCTAATCTATACCCTCATAGAAGATAGTATTATGTTAAGAAAGAAGCTGGACAAGGGTTAAATCCCATTTTTAAGAAATTTTTGGCAACAGTGTTACTGGTTCCATGCAAATCCCCTTGCAATGTACCCATTTTACCAACAGTAAAGCAATCAGGAAATTATCACGTAGCATAAGACATCAATGAGTGGTACCTATTCACCTATTCACAACAGAACTGTATATCCATTTAGCCAGATCCCAGGAGACACTAAATAGTTTTTTGTCCTTGATCTTGAAGATTCCTTCTTTTCTATCCTAGTAGATCCTAACTCCCAATATTTGCCTTTGAATGGGAAGATCCCTGAAAATATACTTGGACTTTCTTGCTTCAGAGATTTAAAGATAGCCCTCACTTGTTTGCTCCGGCTTTAACTCAAGACCTGAGAGATTTAAAGTTTAAAAAGGGAGTCTCACTATAGTACATAGATGATCTCACTTATAGCCCTTCTAAGGAGTTATTTGAAAAACACCGTTAAGATTCTCAATTTTCAGAGCCAGGGATTTAGTTCAGTGGCTCCACCACCTGCCTCACAAGCACAAGGACCTGAGTTCAATCCCCAGTACAAAAAACAAAACAAAACAAAACAAAAAAACCCTCAATTTTCTAGCAAAGAGGAGTTACAAGGTATCTCAAGATATGGCCCAGATAATTAGGAATCCCTAGCTAATCCTTTTTCTCTCTCCATGGCTAATAAACATGGAGAAGCCATGGAAGTGCTAGCTCAACATCTGGACCAGGAAAACTGAGGACTAGATGGAGTTACACAGCCTAGCTGCCTGTGAGCAATAGCTACTATGGCACTCAGTCCAGAAAGATGGTAAGATAACCTTGGGAGAAAAGCTCTTTGTTCTAACCCCACACTAGGTTAAGCCTCTGTTAGAATTCAAGGAACACTTGTGGATGACTAAAGACAGGCTTATTAAATATCAGGCCATTCTAATTGAAAACTCAGAAGTCTCTCTTCAGTCTTGCACCATTTTGAAGCTAGCCATCCTCCTTCCAACGAACCAACAGGTGAGTGTGAACAAACCATATCCCAAAATTTTTCCAGCCACCCTGATCTGAGGGACATAGACAGGGATGTCAAACACATAGTTTATTGATGGCAGCAGTTTCACAAAAGATGATTGTTCTCAGTTTCATTATCTCTATCTCCCCGACAAATGTAAATGGGATGTGGCTCACGCACTGAGCTTGCTATCTGTACTATCTGATAACTGGTGGATCTGACTAATAATGGTCAATTTGTAACCCCCAGCTGAGCTGAATCAGCATGGTCTGGTCTGGAGGATCCACCTGAAGATTGTTACCAATAGCCATAAAAATAGAACTGGGGAGGAAGATCTTGGCCTGTTGATTTTCTAGAAGCTTGCTGCAGATGGTTTTCAGCAAACTAGGCTGTTTTCATTGGAGGAGGAGCTCAGACCTTGCTGTTGCTGGGAATGGCTGCTGCTTTCATCAGGGGAGCTCTGATCTTTACCATGAGCATTACTTCCTGGCTCCAATGTGGATCCCTCAGCTTGGTAGCACAAATCCTTCATCTCATGAGCATAGATTTTCTGGCTTCCACCACAGGTCTTTGGGCCTTCCAGGTACAGATGCTCAATATGGACAAGTACGAGACAGTGGCTTTAGGCCACTGGCTGGACTTGAGGAGCACAAAGGTGTGGGTCTTTCCCTGAAAATTGGCAAATAGGCTTTACCTGCCTATATGTAAGAGGTACACAGACCTCCTGGTGTGCATTCATACTTTTACTGGATGGATAGAGGCATTCCCTAACAGGTCAGAATGGGCCTTAGAAATGGTAAAAGTCTTCCTTAAAGAAATGATCCCTAGGTTTGGATTGTTTAGGTCTATCCAGATCCCAAATCATAAGGAGAGTTACTAAAGCACTGGAAATTAAGTATGATTTTTAGGCTGCACGGAGATCCCAGTCATCAGAAAAAGTTGAGGGAGCCGATCAAACTCTCAGGTGAATCTTAGCCAAGCAGTGTCAAGAAATCCATTATAAGTAGCTAGATCTCCCTCCAATGCCTTTATGAGACTTCAGGTGGCCCCCAAGTCAAAACTTAATCTCAGCCCACTTGAGATGCTTTGTGGGAGACCCTTTTGAATTCAGATGTATTGACACCCAGGCTTCCCAGTTCCTACCACACATGACCCACCTACGTCAACAGCTCCTTCAAAACTGACAATAATTATCATCCCAGCATCCACCCTGGTGAGCAGGTCCTAATCAAGACCTAAAAGGAGGGTAGACCCCAGGATCAACTCACACCCAAATCAAAAACATTATTTTGACATTAAGGTACAGGGAATAGGTAGTTGGATTCACCTCTCCAGGGTAAAATCCAAACTGCCCAATGTGCCAGAAAAAGGGCCACAACCCTCATATACCCATGAACCAGTGGATGACTTCAAGCTTCTTTTCAGAAAACACCAAACACCCTGTTGAACCAGATAAATAAAACTTTCTGTTCCCTCTGAGTAAATTCTGTGGCTAGTCCTGTTATTCTCCTGTTTACTACACTTGAGGTCCTTGTCTCAAATTATAACATGACATCTTTTGGGTTTATTCTGTATTTGGGGGATCCCAGTCACCAAGTAATATTGATTAAATGGGGACCCATTGGGGGAGCAAGTCATGTAGAAAGCACACAAGGATTTCAGTAAGGGTGGGGATCAGGGATATTTTCTGGAAAGGCTGGGCTAAGACCTTGGGCCCCCACCCAGGTGATTGATACCTATTTAGAACATCAGTCATTGCTATTTATCCCCAGGAGAAGCACAAGGGTATAGTAGTTTCTCTCCTTTTACAATTCTGGCCACAGTGGAAGTCTTTATTTTCCTCCATGTTGGCTCCTTGCTATGTTGGCTCCTTGAGGGCAGCCATCTAACTACCTACAAGATAACTAAATAACTTACCTATCTGCAATAATTTGACCCCCATTGAATCAATATTACCTGGGTGTCTGCAAATTGTTAGATTTCCCTTGCCTTAAGGTGGCTGCCACATAGAATAGCAGCCTCCATGTTAAAATATGGCTTCTCCCAACAAAGGACCGGCTTATTCTTCCCATCAATGCCTCTTCTCCCACCAAAAGAGTAACCTAATACTAGCTACCTCCTAAAAGCTAGTGATGTCACAGGCTCCTCCATATCTTAACACTACCTTACTCAACTCCACCGCAGCTCAGGATAACCCCATCCTGCTCATATAAAAGCAGCTCCCTGTGCTGCCATGTTGCTTTTCTCTCCTTTGTTCAGAGACAGCCCGGCAGATCCTCCCCATAATAAAAGCCTGTTATGGCTCTGGTCTGGTCTTGGTTTTGCACTCTTTTATCTAACAGTAATCTTATTTGTTGGTCATAGCTTTGCCCCACCTCATGCCACCTTGTAATTTTCCATTGGGTCTTATATTTTTGTCCCGCTTTGTACCCACCTCCCCACATAGCTTTGCTGTATAAAACATCTTTGAGAACTGGGGTGGGCGGGCAACCAACTATCTGGACCCCCTACTGTCTCTCTCAGACAGAAGCTTTCTTTCTCTCAATAAGTTTTTCCTACTGTTAAAAAAAAATTAAAAAGAATCAACAATCTCAGTCCCCTTTGTCCCAGTGGTCCTGAGATGCCATTCAGCCACCCTTCTGTCTCCGATGGCCGGGCACATGTGCCTGCCTGTACATCTAAGGGATGCTTCAGTTTGAGTATATCTATTGTATAAATGTTTTCTACTGTAAGAACATTTTTTGGGGATCGAATGTGTAAAATTCTATTTGAAGCCCAAATTTCTACTTCCTCCAGCTTTCATCGTGTTTAAGAAATCTTTTCTCATTCAATGATTTTAAATATGTTTTCTAATATCTTATCAAGTACTTGTATAGCTTTGTCTTTTAGGTATCATTTTGATTTTAAATGAATGCTTTTACTCTACCAGAAATTGTCTTAGGTTATGAAGTAGAGACCTACTTCTCCTCACAGGACAACCAATTTTGAGATGCCACATTTGTCATGTAGCAAGCTCCCCCATCTCCTCACAGATCTCTTACCTGGCTCTGTTTTTTATTCTGTTGATTTGTCTGTTTTTGAGCCAAACCCAGGCTGTTTTAAATACCGAGGGGCTAATTCTTTCTCATTTTTCCTTCTCAGAAATATTTTCCTGTTTTATTTATTTACTCTTCCAGAAAAACCTTAGAATTCCCTTGTTAAATTGGAATTTTGAAAATGGAAACAAAGTCTTTGTAAATAGGGAAGGGTGAAGGGGGTGAAGGGAGGGCAAGGGTATGGGGAAAAAATAAGAACCAAAACATATCATGTAAAGGTACAAGATCCCAGTGATAAATTTAACTGTATTGTTTGCTTTTAATGTACCAATAAACTTAATGGGGAAAAAAAAGAATCAACAAACAGGATTGTTACAGGAAAACTAATTCATAAAGCTAAAATTGTAATTCATAAGACACAATATTATGGTGAAATGCTAAGATATGCTCTGTTTAGATATGTACTTTCCAAACCACAATGCTCTTCCTGTAGCGAGAGGTATCTTAGGACTTCGCTTATCAAAAGCCACCTGCAAAATGAAAAGCAAAATGAAAAGCTTCAGTTTTGCCAGGTTATCCCTACTTCGCTTGTAACAGTATAAAATTTTGTTCTGAGCTCAAGGTCAGAAAACAAAGACTTGTTTCCAGGGTCTGGCCTTACTATTAGCAATAAAGTGTATTTTTACCCAACTCTTGAGTCTCTTAAATTTCTTTTTGGTACGCTTGCCACAACATTTGGTGCATTGGCCGGAAATGGAAAGTAACTTCAGGCCACGTCGTCGCTTGGCCATCGAACCAGGACCTGCCAGACTGAGTCGAGTCTCCCAACTCATTGCAGGAGAGGCGCCCCTTGGAGACTTTTCCTCGACCCCTCAAAAACTCGGGACACCCTCCTCCCTGCCAGCTGTTGGACCGAACCTGGAAAAGAGACGAAGGGTGAGGGATAAGGTAGGCTACCCCGGGACAAACTCCAGTTAGAAACCTTTGGTTCTGTTTTTATCCACCTCCTGGATAAGAAAGGGGCCTGATAACCCCTTGAGACCTAGCCCCTCTTTTGTCAGGACTCTTGAGTCTGTCCGTTGAACAATTTGAATTAGAAAGGGTCACCCCGGGGAGGAGAGTTCAACCTCTGAATGAGGGTGAAAGAGTGTGACTGAGAAGGGACAGTGCGTGCTCCGCGAGGAAGGGAAGGGCGCTTGAGCTTTAAGATCCTCCCAGAAGCAGCGGACTTGAAGGGGCTTGCTCAGCGATCTGCAGACGCGTCTGGAAAGGAAAGGGCTCGTTCCGAGGCTCTGGCGACAAGTAGTTTCCCAAGTCTGGACGGTCTGAAAAGTGCATAGTACACTGGACAGGCTTTGTGAGGACTGCCCCTCGCGGTCGCCCTCCTTTGTTTGTCTTGCGACCCTGAATCAGGGCGCCACGAACACCAATACCTAGTGATCACGGGGACGGACGGGTACCTCACGCCCCCACTGTATTGGAATGCCTGTGAAAGAACTTTAAGAAAGGATTTTCAGGTGACTGTGATGTTAAAATGAAGCCCCAAAAGCTTAGAACCATTTGCGAATTAGAATGGCCACGTCTGTGCAATGGGTGGCCAGCAGAGGGCACTCTAGACATTGAGATTGTGAGATACGTGGCTGCCAGTCAGGGATCCAGGTGAAAGAGCTTCCCGACCAATTTCCGTACATCGATTGCTGGCTGATACTGCACGGAGAAATGCCCTCCTGGCTACGCATTTGTGTCATGGGGACAAAAGGGAGAATAGTGATCTTGAAGCAAAATGATTCAGAAGGGTCGAAGAAACCAATTCTCTATGACCTGAACAAGAAAAAAAAGCAGACTTTCCCCCACCGTATGCCACTGCTCTCCCAGAGCAACATCGACCCACATCTCCTGACAACCACATCACTGCTTCTGGTAGCACCGACGTGTGGAAAGGGAGACTCAAAAAGTTCCACCGGCGACTCCCTCCATCCTGGATTGTTGCACTATCAGAGTGGACTGTTCCTTGGCTGTATTCATTCACACTCCTGGTGCTAAAAGGCTGATGCTCAAGCTGCCATTAGTCATTGGTACAATTCCATTTAACGGTTTGGGCAGCAGAAACTCCAGCACCGCCAGCCAGTTCAGCGTGGATACAGCTGGCTGACACCGACCCTGCCAGGACAGCCTGAAGCACCACCAAATTACGCAGTTGTGGAGTCAGAGGAAGAACTCTGTGGACTCATCATTCCTTACCCTCGGCCCTCTGACGGTGAGGAAGAAGTGCGCTACCAGCCTCCACCTCTTTACTCAGAGCTCGATCCACATCCTGGTGACATGGAGGAGACCCAGCCTGTTTCCTTCATTCTCTGAATGAATTTCAGAAATCGCTGTTTTCATCATCAAATTGGAATGTTGGTTCTTTCCCATCTGCCTTTTTGGGGAGAGGGCAGAAAGATTAACTTAAAACCATAAATGAGCATCAAGACCGAAGACAGCAGAAATGAAAGATTACCAGAACTTTCTGGGGGGCCAAGGCAGTGGTTGCACAAGTTTCTACGATGGCCACCTGTCACCTTTGGAATGGGATGCCCACTGTGGGGAGTGAGGGTGAGATGAAAGTGCTGGTGGAGGTAACCGAAATGAGAGAGGCCTGCTGACCAGCAAGGAGGGATTCTGAGTGGAAACCGGAGCAAGGAAGCCTCTCCAAAGGCTTTGCAAAAAGAAGCAAATGTGATGGCCATGTGAAGGATTAACCGGGCAGACGGTTTGAGTGTAGCCACAGAGGCCTACTCTAAAGCCTCAGTGAGACCTGCAGGCTCCAGGGTCTTCCCGACTTCCTGTTCTATTACCATATCAAAGGTCAGGGTCCTGACAAGTCCCCTTTCTTGAAATCAGTTTCCATTCTTTCAGTCGGGCAAAATATACTTTCTAAATTGGCTATGCAATATTAGGACACCTGCAGACTTCCTTGAAAAGCCACTTGAAATGGGGAAGAAAAATTTTTATTATGAAGTTGTGTTTTGTTAAAAGCTATACTTTTGGGGCTGGGAATTTAGCTCAGTGGTTCCATCACCTGCCTCACAAGCGCAAAGACCTGGGTTCAATCCCCAGTACCAAAAAAAAAAAAGTAATAAAAATAATAATAAAAGCTATACTTTTTGCTACCTCTAAGTACTTAAACAGGATATATGTTTACTTTTCCCCATATCTTAATTATCTGAGGGTACAGAAAAAGGAGGAAAGAAAAGGATACATCTTTAGGAAGCCTTGATAACCACACAGTAAAAACAGCACTTTCTCGGCCGGGGATTTAGCTCAGTGGTTCAGTGGCCTGCCTTGCAAGCGCAAGGACCCGAGTTCAATACCAGGTACCCCCCCCCAAAAAAAAAGAAAGAAAGAAAAGAAAAACAAAAGCATTTTCTTGACCTACCTTTAGTGGGGTTATTAGATGGCTTATAGCTTTTCAAAACGCTAGGCCTGTCAACCTTATTTGAAGTCTCTGTTATTTATAGCAGCAGTCTTAGCTCACTTTGCATTTAATCAGAAATTAAACCAGGGGATCCAGTCATATATAACCAGATTTAAGGAAATGGGACTTTTGAGAGAATGCAGCTCCCTGTGGAACACTCCTCTCCTTCCAGTCAAGAAGCCCAATGGGGATACAGACCAGTTCAAGATCTCTGTACAGTCAACCAAGCTGCAGTCACCCTTCATCCTGTGGTATCAAACTCATACACATTACTGAGACTCATCCCACCAGATGCAGCTTGGTTTACTTGCCTCGATCTGAAAGATTCCTTTTTCTGCCAGCAGACAGCCCCTCAAAGTCAATCTATCTTTCCCTTTGAATGGGAAGATCCAGGCACGGGACACCAAGGACAATTAACCTAGACTAGGCTACCACAGGGATTCAGAAATTCCTCCTCACTGTTCAGAGGAAACATAAGCCTCTGATCTTCAAAGCTTCCCTCATCAGCAATACAACTGCAGCTCACTTCAGTATGTAGATGATCTCCTGCTCTGTGTCAAAGAGAAGGCTGACTGATGGGAAAGAACCAAGGCCCTATGAGAATTTGTCCAAGAGACAGGATACAAAGTATCTTGGAGAAGGCTCAAATTTGTCAGAGTAAGGTTCGATACATAGGATTTGACATTAAACAGTGACAATGCCAATTAAAGAAAAGTAATCTGCTCCATCCCAAAACCTAACAGAAAAAAGAAACTCAGGGAATCTCTCAGGCAGTTGGCTTCTATAGGATATGGATCCCTGGGCTGGCAGAGAAGACCAAGCCTCTGTATGAGAAACTCAAAGGGAAGGAAAGTGAACTCTCAACTTTAACCTGGACCCTCAAACAGAACTCTTCCTTCCTTAAGCTAAAACAGGAGCATCAGCACTCAGGATTCCCGATGTTTACAAACCTTTCAACTTGTTGATGAAAAAAGCCCATGTAGCACTGGGAGTGCTCACACTGAAGGTCGTACCCTGGGAAAGACCAGTTGCCTACCTCTCAAAAAATGTGGACCCCATAGCAAAAGGATGGCCCCCATGTCTATGGGCCATAGCTACCACTGTAATGCTTACTAGGGAGGCTGACAAGCAAACTTTAGGCCAAGAACTGACAGCGTATACACCTCTCATGTGGTAATCAAACTGCTCAGTACCCGTGGCAATAATTGGCTTTCCAACAGCCACATGCATTGTCCAATATCAGGCTCTCCTCTGCGAACATCCCCGCCTGACACTCTCCAGTGTTAAGTCCTCCAACCCTGCCACCCATCTTCCCACTGAGTTGGGCCCACCTGACCACGGCTGTCTGCTGTTGATGGAATCTGTTTCAGCCAACCAGACCTACAAATGACCCCTGACTGATGCTGAGTACACACTATTCAAGGATGAAAGTAGCTCAGTCAGGGAGGGGATACGACAGGCTGGCTATGCCATGGTTACCACTAAAGATGCTCCTAGCCAGGCCTCTTCCCCAGGATGGTCAGCACAGAGGGCAGAACTGTGGGCCTTGAAACAAGCACATCGTACCTGTCGGTGGAATGCTATACAAAGGAAGGGGATTACTCATGGCCAAGGGAAAACAGATAAAAAATGAAGAGCAGGTTCTCCAACTCCTAGAAGCAATGTGGGACCCACAGAAGGTGGCAGTAATACACTGCAAAGGCCACCAGAAAATAAAGGACAGCGTCACCCTCGGAGATGACAAGGCAGACACAGCTGCTAAGGAGGCAGCCGAAGGAGGCAGCCGAGTCAAAAGTTAATTGGCAACCTGCGAACTCCCACAAGGCACCGGATGAGTTCCTGAGGTATTCAGAAAAAGAGAGCAAGTGGGCCCGAGACAGAAGACCCTGCAGGGAGAACAGTGCTCCGCTGCTCCTGGATCCTCCCTGACAGGCCACCGGTGTTCTACCAAAAGGCAAGGCCTACACCCGGGTCAAACAACAGCAGGACTTGACACATGGAGGAGATGGCACTGACTGAACTCCTGCAAAGATACTATTATATACCTCGACTTTCAACTCTCTGGGCCACAATTTGTCAGAGGTGCACTAGTGCGCAAGGGCTGAGCCATGACAAAATGCCTCACAAACTGTAGGAATTTACTATTATGGAAAATCCCCCTTTAAAGACCTTCCAGTAGATTTCACAGAACTCAAACCCTGTTGGGCATATAAATATTTACTAGTTCTAGCCTATAATTATTCAGGATGGATGGAGGCCTTCCCTACAAAAACAGAAAAAGCCCAAGAAGTCTGTAGAATACTCCTAAGAGAAGTAATTCCAAGATATGGGCTCCCAATTACCATAGGAGGTGATAATGGCCCTGCATTTGTAGCTGAGGTGATCCAGAAGTTAAGTAAGCTATTAAAAATTAACTGGAAGCTGTATACAGCTTACTGGCCTCAGAGTTCAGGAAATGTAGAAAGAATAAATAGAACGATAAAATTAGTCTCAACCAAGTATTGCTTAGAAAATGCTGGCTCCTGGGTGGATTTCTTGCTGTTTGTTCTAATGAAATCAGAAACCTACCCAGCAAAGGGAAATTCTCCCCATTTGAGATACTATTTGGGAGACCTCCACCCTTATTTAAAAAGGAAATACTCAGGAAATCTCTTCTTCAGACAACAGCTTGAGGCACTAGGACAAGTTTCTAATCGGCTACATAAATATTACAGAGAAAGGGCTGACATACCAACAGACACCCAGCACACAATATAGAGCCAGGACAATTGGTCTATGTCAAGGATGGAAAAAGGAGTCATTAGCTCCCTATGCATTGTTAAGACTACTCCTACAGCAGTGAAGGTAGCTGAAATCCAGCCCTGGATTCACCACTCTTGAGTGGAAAAGGCTCACCCAAACTCTGAGTGGACCTAGTAGGCGGACCCGACTAAGCCTCTGAAAGTGATACTAAAGAGACCACACACCCATAGCCCTGCTCCTGTCACTCTGGATGCTGACAAGTCAACACACTGCTGAAGCTTGAGGATGTGGAACATACAGCCATTCCAGTAGTTCTAACCTTTGATGTTCTTCTCTCCTACTCTGCAGGTCATGACCACTGGACCTTTGAACTTGCCATGGCAGGCAGCTCACCCCAACTAAGGCTACAAAATGGGAGCCTGAGGGACAACCCTTGACCATCACATTTGATGCTTGTCTCATGGAACATAGTGGATGGCCAGGAGTTACTGATTGTGGAGGATACAGCTGGGAAAAGAATATTTACAGTAAAAGCACTCCCATCTTTGTCCTGCCCCCTGGACATACAAGAATAATGGGACTCTGTTGTGATGGCAAAGGGCATAACAGAGTCCCTGGGTTCTGTGGGAAAAACCCATGTTACAGAGGAGATTCCATGAACTGCTCCTCATGTATCCAAGGGAATTGTAATTCTATTAGATATATTATCACTGATCCTTGGGATAGCAAATCGATACATGGACAAGCTATAACCATTAGGATTTTTTATGGCAACTGGGGATATTCTATTCATTGGACATTACAGACGAAGGTCTGGGCTATAGCTAAGCCCACTGTAGGAGACAGTCCTGCCCTGAAAGAGACCAAGAACATAGGATCTGGAAAAGCCAATTACACTGGTATTGATATGGTACAAACTATCAATACTACCCATAGGCTCTTCCTACAGGCAGATCCTGATCTAGCCTCAGACTGCTAGATCTGTGCCCCTTGGAGCCAACCAGTATACCAGGCCTTAGGAATAACAAAAGTGCTCCTAAGGGGACCCTCTTCTCTGTCAGGATGGACTGTATCACATTATATCCCCCCACACCCAGGGAATCTGTGGCTTGTTTAATCTAATCCCAAATTTAAATGTATATTCCCCCATGCAGTAAGACAGATCCTAATACAAATTGGCTCCCCAATAAGTACATACTGACGAAGGAGAGCCCCAATCTTCCTCCAATTCTAGCCAGACTGACTACAGCAGGCAGTTTAACCTTAAGCAGACAACAGCAGTACCTCTCACTGGGACAACACATCCAAAAGGGATTAGATGAGGTTCGTGAATCACTTCTCACCTTACAAGGACAAACAGACTCCCTAGCCAAGGTGGTTCTGCAAAACAGATGAGCACTTGATTTGCTTACTGCTAAATATGGGAACCTGTCCTATACCTCCGAGAAGAATGTTGTTATTATACAAACAGGTCTGGGATAGTTAGGGAATCGATGAGCTGATTAAGAGAATGACGCAAGAGAAAGTAGGTTAAATATGGAATCCAGGAATCAAGCTCCTGGTGGGACTGGTCAGTGTCCAATTGGAAACCATAGGTCACTGCCTTTCTTGGACCACTCATGGTTCTCCTTCTGATCACAATTGGCCCATGTCTCTTTAACCGGATGACCAAATGTACTACTGAAAGGAAGCAATCGATACAAACTTATCAAATGATAGCACATCAAGCGCATTGTGTTCATTTGGAGGAAGAATCATCCTGATACAAAAAGAGGGAGAATGTTGCAGAAAAATTATAGTTCATAAAGCTAAAACTGTGATTCATAAGCTAAGACACAATATTCTCATGAAATGTTAAGGCATGCTATGTTTAAGATGATATGTACTTTCCAAACTGCAATGCTTTCCCTGTAGCAGTAAGATATCTTAGGACTTTGCTGAGGCTGATTATCAAAAGCCAACTGCCAAAATGAAAAACCCCATTGTAAAGCTTTGCCAGATAATCCCCACTTCACTTGTAACAGTATAAAAGCTTGTTCAGATCTGAGCTCAGGGTCAGACAACAAAGACTTGTTTCCAGGGTTTGGCCTTACTACTAACAATGAAGTTTATTACCCAACTTCTGAGTCTCTTAACGTTCCTTTTGGTACTCCAGCCACAACAGGATTATATCAGTCTGAAAAGCTTCGGTATAGCAAAAGAATGAATTAGTTAGAATGAAGAAACAACCTACAGAATGGTGACAAAATTTTTGCCAGACACTCCTCAAATAGAGGACTAATGTCAAGAATATACAAAAAAAAATTAAAAAAAAAAAAAAAAAAAAAAAATAAAAAAAAAAAAAAAAAAAAAAAAAAAAAAAAAAAAAAAAAAAAAAAAGACCACCTAGCCCGACGTGGTGGTGCACGCCTGTAATCCTAGCACTCAACAAAATTTTAAATACCATATAATAAATTGCCAATGTGGTTCTATCTACTTCTCCTTTTTCCCTACCCTTTACCATGTGATTCCCAATTGGGTCTTACCAGAAATGGAGGATATCTTTTTCTTTAAAATGGTTAATCATTTTACAGGGATCTATAGACCTGGAAAATGGGGTTGCTTTTTCTTTCCTTCTGCCAACACAAAATGAACATTGCTGGTCTAGCTAGCTAGCCTGCTCAAACATTAAGGATATACGGGATAGCCAAATTACCCCAGTCATCTAGCCAGAGCCATTTTAGATCAGATTAAAGGTTATCTGAATCCCTAGCATGAGTGAATACAACCAAGATTAAAAGTCACATAGTCAACCAGCAATGATTGACTGCTCAATATTACTCAAGCCAAGACCAAAATAGCCTACTTCAACACTTAAAATGCCACAGAAGTTCTATAGTTGTTACACAGCATTATCTTGGCAACAGAAAATACATACTAGTTTGAAGTTTGCTTTTTTTTTTGAGGCAGGGTCTATGTATTTGAGACTGACCTGGAACTCACTATGTAGCCCCCAGGGTGGTTTCAAACACAGTGATCCTCCTGCTTCAGCCTCCCAAATGGGGGCATTACAGGCATGTGCCACCACACCCAGCTTAATTTGAAGTATTTTTAACTTGGAAAAAATATCTATTCTTATATCTCCCAGATTTTCTAAATGACTGCAAAATATAAATACTCATATAAATCTCGCTATATCTCAAAATATTAACTCATACAAACCTCATTATATAGTTTTTATTTAAAACCCATAACAATACTATAAATATGCAAAGTCGTTATCTTCATTTAATATACTGGCACAACTAAGGAACAAATGTTAGCTTCCCCAGAATCCATAGCTACTCAGTTGTAGAACAGAGGTTAAAGTAATATAGCTTCAGAACCTAGATCTTAACCATTTCACTATAATTCTTCGTGGGTATTTTATTTGAAAAATAAGAAATGCACACTTACATTGGTACTTTAATTATAAATGTATATTCATATAAAGTAAATGTAATTTTAGTGAAATAACAAATTCAGAATGCTTGCTTGTCCAACACATTCTCTAGTCTACACACACATATGCATGCCCTTCAGCTATGATTAGCTGATTGCATGGATGCCAACAACTAATCCAAAACAAGCCAGTCAGATTTTGTCATCTAGTAGAATAAAATTGGAAATCAGAATTTGTCCAAATTTGAACTGGAAGTTACATGAAGTGGTTTAGCACAGACACACACATACCATGCTACTGCCAAAGAAAGGTGCTCAGTACCTCATATTTTTCTAGATGCAGGTTTCAGCCCTTTAGAAAGTTCAGTAGCAATCCTGCCTATGGTTCTTATGAGGTACTCTTATGTCTCATTTTCTCGCCTTTTTCTTAAGCCAGTTTGAGGTTTCTGTAGTAGACAAACTAATATTCTCAATCCCAAAGATGTTCAGAACCTGAGAATATGTTGCCTTAAGTGGCAAAAATACTTTTGCAGATATGAAGTAGTGAAATTGACATGGAGAGATTATTCTGAATTACTCAAATAGGCACAATGTAATCACATATGTAATTACATGTTTCGAGTCAAAGAGGAATACCAATAGTAAATTCAACAGTAAGCTGCAAAGATAAAAAGGAAAACAGAAAAATTTGCATTTTTTTCATTGCAAATTTGTCTATGGCATGATTTTATAAAAGTATTTGGCAGAATATAAACATGTCCCTATCATATAATCCAGAAATTGTAACTTTAGGTATTTGTCCAACTGTATGAAAAATTTATGTTCACAGAACAAAGCGTAAACAAGTTTTTATAGCAACTTCATTCATAACTGTCAAAAATTGGAAGCAACCAAAATGTTCAATAGGTGGATAAACAGTGAATGTAAAAGGTGACAAAAAAATCTAATATGTGAAAAAATTTCACTAAAGAGGAGAATGGGGAAGGGCATTACCCTAAGTAACTTTGGAAATGAACAGTCTTTAACTCTAAAGGCAGATAAAGTAAGCCTTGCAATGCTAAAGTTTCCTATGGGGTGCAGGGTGACTCTAAAACGGCTCTGTATGTATACTGGAATTGAACAAATAAATTGTTTCTAAATTTAGGAATGAGAATTTAGACAACAAAGGGGAAGGGACAGAATGATCCATACGACAACAGATTTTGGGGGGATACTAATACAAATGAAAATGTTACAAATATACGTAAACAGATTATTATATACACATTTATTACCTTGCTCTGTAAACTAAAGGACTTCAAAGCAAAAATATCTGGTAACAAGGAGCACAACTAGTGTTCCAATTTTGTCATATAAAACTGTTCTCTATGAGGAATCAGGACTTCTAGGAGAAATAGTTGATTCCAGAACTGGAACAAAAAAATATTTAAGATGAGCCTAAAGTATTTGGAAGTACCAACAAGAAAGGAAGTTCTCAAAAATAATAAAATAATAATAATAATAATAATACCACTTCACAATGATGACTATATGGCAAAGAGACAGAGGACATTCAAGGAGCTCCTAATAGCCAAAGCTGGAACAATGTGAACCACAATATAAAGCAGTACTGGCTCATAACTCAAATTATTAAAAAGTGTCCATGAGTCCATAGTAATATAAATGACTGAATACAGGAGAAAGGACAAATATCCCATGTATAATTTCAAATAATTTATACAGATGTTTCATCTCCAAGGAGGAAGAAAATAATTCCCCACATTCACATGTGGGCTGAACAGTGACTTTCTTTTAAAGACAACAGCATATAAGATTTTTTTTTTTTAAACAGCAACTTTAAGTTAAAGAAACACGACAAGATTCAACTAAATTTAATATTCAGGGGAGACAGCTTATTTACACACATCCATGATATCTAAAGACTCAGTTAACATACTTAACATAAAGAAAAGCAACATCAGTACACTCAAGTAAAAGGTAGCACTGGGTAATAATATCCTCTATAGACTATGAAATGTAAACAGAAAAGATCTGAAAGTGAAAATCAAGAAATTTGTACTTTTTATAGAGTACTGTTCTCAGTCTTGATTCACTGTAACTCCAATTTACAGAAACTAGTGCTTACAGCATTATGGTCTCCCTCTTTTACATTATTTTATTAAAGATTTTTGCATATATGAGGTATAAATAAAACTTACTTTGAATGCCAGAAAAATAAGACAATGATGTTAAAGAAAATCAGGAGTGATTTGCTTATACCAGTGATGCAAGTATTATGTAGTACAGTAGTCCCTCCTTACTCAAGGGTGGATAATCTGTGACCGTCAGTGGATACGTGGAAACACAGTACTAAACCCTGTATTCTTTCCTTATTGAGAAGTTTCACCTTTCCAGGTAAAGGAAATACTTCATGCTTTTCTTTGGCATTGTCAAATTGCCAGCATCACTACTTCTGTGCTTGGGATCATTATTAAGTAAAATAAAGAGATTAAGTAAATAAAGATTACTAAGATTATTAAGTAAAGATCACTGTGGTAAGGTGACAGCAGTGAGTTCTATGGGTTTTTTCATCTCATTTACCCCAAACTTTGTACTACAGAAGCTTACTTCAAAGTTCCAGGTACCAGACACGGCAACAGGTAAAGATATCTTTCTTCTTTTAAGATCCCAAGCAGCCTGCTTTCCCTAGTCAATAATCAGTGATGTGGCAGCTAAGCAAGCCAAAGAGTAGACAATAACTACTCAATGCTCAGCAAACTGGGATTCCAGTGCCTTCTGTAATAATGAGGAAGCAACCCGCTCCCAGGCCAGCCTCATAGGAGAAAAGGTGTCAACTATGGACTGTGTTAGTAGTACACCAATGCCAACTCATCGACTGTACCAGATGTACCACTCAGGTGCAGGGTGCTGGCAGTGGAAGAAGCTGTGCATGAGTAGGCAGGCAACATTTGGGGACTCTAGACTTTCTACTCGATTTCTCTTTTAATCTAAACCTGATTTAATGTCTATTTTTTTTTCTCATTGAATTTATTGGTACTTTTTCAGTATACAGTACAGTTACATTCATCATTGGGATCTTGTACCTTTACATGATAGGTCTTGGTTCTCATTTTTTCCCCTTGTCCCTGCACTCCTTTCACCCCCTCCTCCCTTTCCTATTTACAAATACTTTATTTCCATTTTTTCACTTTCTTTTTCTTTTCCCTAATTTCTTTTGCCCTACCCTTCCCACATCCCCTACAGCTTTAGCCCTTTTCTTCCTATTTCACATGGTCAATTATCTCACTAGGATCTTATGTACCATTAAAGTTTTTCACACCAGAGAAATTATTTGGTATTTACATGTGTGTCCTATTTATCTCACTTAAGAGTATGGCCTCAATATGCATCCATTTTCCTATGCATGACTCTAGTTTCTTTCTTTATGGCTGAGTAATATTCCATTTTATAGAAAAACCACATCTTCTTTATCCAGTCTCCAACTGATGGGCAAATGGGCTGTTTCCAAATTTTAGCTATTACAAACTGTGCCACTATAAATGTTGGTGCGCATATATCACTGTGATATGATTCTTTTAATTCTTTTGGAAAAAGGGATGGCTGGGTCAAATGGGACCTCTAATCCTAGTTCTCTGAGGTATCTCCATATTGATTTCCATAGTGGTTGCACCAGTCTGCACTCCCCTCAATAATTAATGTCTATTTGGAAGAAGAGGGAAAAAAAGCATGAGACTACACATGTTCCAAAGAGACTAAAATATTTGCCACCTGGCCTTTCAGAGAAAAAGATTGCTTTCTCTGTCCTTGTAATAAAGTTTCTCTCTTTAATAAGCCTTTTTAGACTACTATTTTTCTGGTTACTCAAAAGCTTCAATTTACAATCTCAGAAATTCCTGAAGCTATTTTAATTATGGCTTATCATGGAAATTTTACCTAAGAACAGGTAAAAATATACTGTTATCAGAGACAAGAAACATTTTTATGTAAAATATCAAGAAAATTAAAGAACACACAATATGGTAAAAAATAGCTCAAAATATAAAATACTTAAACATAAATCTAACAAAAACATACATAACTTGTATATGGAAAATACATAAAGGTGATGAAAGAAATCAAAGATCTAAATAGCTCAAGAGATATTCATGAATTGTTAGATTGCAAGACGGAAAAGATGTCACTTTTTCCCAGTGATAGGTTTTACCTAGTTAAAAATCGCAGAAAGTGTTTGAAATATAGAAAATACTATTCTAAGTTTTTATGAAAGGCAAAGGAACCAGAATATCTAAAGTAATTCTGAAAAAAAAAAAAAAAAAAGCAAAATGGAGGAATCACTATACCTAATTTCCAGATTTATCAACCACTGATCAGTCCAATTATTTAAATATGGGATGACCAAAAATTGCATATTTTTAGCCGGGCATGGTGGCACACGTCTTTAATCCCAGCACTCAGGAGGCTGAGACAGGAGGATCGCTGTGAGTTCGAGACCAGCCTGGGCTACATTGTGAGTTCCAGGTCAGTCTTAACTACATAATGAGACCCTGTCTCAAAAAAAACAGAAACAAAACAAAAAAAAAAATTGCATATTTTTACATTTTTATAATAGGAAACATAAAATGACAATTTTATCAAATTTATTCACTGTAAGAATTGAGTGGTTGAAATGACAATGGTGAATGATGCTTGGGTAATATGTAAACAAATGCACCGGCCAAGTGATGCTGGGATAAACTGCTAAGTGGTTAAATGCATATACTAATCAAGACTGGGCGACACTGGTAGACATAGACACATGGGCCAACCAACTCAGAACCCAGAAACAGAACAACATAGTGTGCATGCTAATTTTTTCATAAAAGTGCAACAGCAATTCAATGGGAGATTACCCTCCCAATAAATGGTGGTGGAATAATCAGATATTCTTAGCCAAAAAATAAATTTTGACCCAAACTTCTCGCCCTCTACAAAATTAACTCAAAACTCAAAACTTAAAATATAGAATGCACCGCTAAAGAATTTCAGCAGATGACAGAGGGGACAACCTTTCGGACCTGGAGATTGAGGTAGAATTTGCACAACACTAAAAGGATGATGTATAAAAGAAAAACAATAAACTACACTCCATCAAAATGAAAAACCATATTCTTCAAAAGGCCTTGTTATAAGACACAAGGAGACATTTTATTGAAAAGATATATTTGTTGCAAATGGATTTATGAAAAGATGTTCAACATTGTTAGTCACTAAAAATGCAAACTAAGATCAAGATGAGGTGCCACTACTTACTAATACAGCTTTTTCATAAGTGACTACTAAATTCTAGTAGGAATCAAGGAAACCAAATACATTTAAGCTCCAACTTAGGATTCTGTTCTGAAAGAACGTTTATAAGTCTGACAAGGTGAGTCTTATACACATTTGACACATCCACACAATGTAAAGCATAAACAACCAGACACACACAAGTACTCCAAATAAACTGTTTTTACTTTTAGTTTACCCTAAAATGGTGATACAGTATGATTGTAAATAAACTATTTTTACTTGTATGATTACCTTAAAATGATAAGTTAGACATGTTAAAAAAAAAAAAAAAAAAGCAAAATGGAGGAATCACTATACCTAATTTCCAGATTTATCAACCACTGATCAGTCCAATTATTTAAATATGGGATGACCAAAAATTGCATATTTTTAGCCGGGCATGGTGGCACACGTCTTTAATCCCAGCACTCAGGAGGCTGAGACAGGAGGATCGCTGTGAGTTCGAGACCAGCCTGGGCTACATTGTGAGTTCCAGGTCAGTCTTAACTACATAATGAGACCCTGTCTCAAAAAAAACAGAAACAAAACAAAAAAAAAAATTGCATATTTTTACATTTTTATAATAGGAAACATAAAATGACAATTTTATCAAATTTATTCACTGTAAGAATTGAGTGGTTGAAATGACAATGGTGAATGATGCTTGGGTAATATGTAAACAAATGCACCGGCCAAGTGATGCTGGGATAAACTGCTAAGTGGTTAAATGCATATACTAATCAAGACTGGGCGACACTGGTAGACATAGACACATGGGCCAACCAACTCAGAACCCAGAAACAGAACAACATAGTGTGCATGCTAATTTTTTCATAAAAGTGCAACAGCAATTCAATGGGAGATTACCCTCCCAATAAATGGTGGTGGAATAATCAGATATTCTTAGCCAAAAAATAAATTTTGACCCAAACTTCTCGCCCTCTACAAAATTAACTCAAAACTCAAAACTTAAAATATAGAATGCACCGCTAAAGAATTTCAGCAGATGACAGAGGGGACAACCTTTCGGACCTGGAGATTGAGGTAGAATTTGCACAACACTAAAAGGATGATGTATAAAAGAAAAACAATAAACTACACTCCATCAAAATGAAAAACCATATTCTTCAAAAGGCCTTGTTATAAGACACAAGGAGACATTTTATTGAAAAGATATATTTGTTGCAAATGGATTTATGAAAAGATGTTCAACATTGTTAGTCACTAAAAATGCAAACTAAGATCAAGATGAGGTGCCACTACTTACTAATACAGCTTTTTCATAAGTGACTACTAAATTCTAGTAGGAATCAAGGAAACCAAATACATTTAAGCTCCAACTTAGGATTCTGTTCTGAAAGAACGTTTATAAGTCTGACAAGGTGAGTCTTATACACATTTGACACATCCACACAATGTAAAGCATAAACAACCAGACACACACAAGTACTCCAAATAAACTGTTTTTACTTTTAGTTTACCCTAAAATGGTGATACAGTATGATTGTAAATAAACTATTTTTACTTGTATGATTACCTTAAAATGATAAGTTAGACATGTGAGCTACTTCCTGATTTTTTTTTTTTTGCATCTATGAATGTTCCTAATATGAAATCCACTCATATCTGTGAAAATAATAAGTTGGGACTTATTGTATCTCATAAATTGTTCCTGAGAATGCAAAATGGTATAATCACTCTGGCAAAGTTTAGTGGTTTATGAAAGTAAGCTAAACATACTTACCATATAAGCATTTGTCGAAGACACATAAAACTTACACTTATACAAAACCCTGTAAATATTTTTTTTATTTTGTTTTGTATTACTGATCTAACTCAGCAGGTCACTGTATGCCAGACAAGCACTATTACTGAGCTATGCCTCCAACCCAATAGTATGCAACATTTATGTCATCTTTATTTGTGGTACATTCATAGGAGAGAATACTACCCCGGAACAAAAAGAAATGAACTACTGATGTACACAATGACTTGAAAAGATCTAAATGACATTACAAGTGAGAAAAACCAAAGTCCATATAAGTGATTCTACTGACATAACAATGTCTAACTTGTACTACAAATATGGAAAACAAATTAGTAGAGGTTAAGAATGATGAGTATAAGGAAAGTAGGTATAGCAACAAAGAGGTAGCATATGGTGTGAAAAACTAAAATAGTACTCAAGATCCTAATGGGACAATTAGCAAATAGGAAGAAAAGGACCAAAGGTGTATGGACAGTGAGAAGGATAGGGAAGGGGGAATAAGGGAAAAGGAAAAAAATATGAGAAAATGTAAAAATGAAATTAAAGTGTTTGAAGGGGGAGAGGGGAGGGTGAAGGGAGGGTGGGGACAAAGGGAAAAAATGAGAACCAAGACCTGGTACGTAAATGTACAAGATCCCAGTAATGAATGTAGCTGTACTGTCTACCTAGAATGTACCAATAAATTAAATTAAAAAAAAAAAAAAAACAAGAGGTAGCATGAACAATTTAACAATGATGAGATAGTTCCATATCTTTTTTTCCCCCGGTACTGGAGATCAAACTCAGGACCTTGCGTTTCCCAGGCAGGCGCAGTTCCACTGAGCTACATCCCTGGCAGTTCCATATCTTGAATGCAGTAGTGGTAACAAAAATTTAGCATACTGGAGGTTAGCATTTCACCAAATACCTAATAGGATCAATATGGTACCTAGAAATATGGTCAAATAAATGTCACAAAATAGGCAAGAGAATTAAATTCAAGGAAGAAATACTTACTTTGGCTAAATTTCAGAGCTTGCCATCCATGGTTCCATGGCTCCACTGCTTCTGGGCTTACAAAGCAGACCTTCACGGCAGCAGCACATGGTGGAACAAAATTGCTCATCTCATGTTGGCCAGAAGGCCGAGAGGGAGGAGAAGGAGTGGGGGAGAAGTGGGAGATGGAAGAGGGAAGGAGAGAGAGGATAACAAGAGAGACAGAGATAGAGGAAGGGCGTGGTATTCTGACAGTGATGGCAACCTTTCAGAGACAAATGTTACAAGCTACAATCCAAAACCCACTTACTTATTGCAAAGCGTCAACACTGCAATTAAACTTGGATATTGAGGATTTAGTTTTTAAAAAATAACATACATTAACTTTTGTCTTAAAAGGAAAACAACATGCACACCCTTAGTTAGCTGGCAGTGGTGTAGGATACACTCTTCCACGTTACACCTATAGTGACCTTCTTCCTTTAACCAGGCCCCACTTCCTATCAGCATATTCAGCTATGAACTATCAGCAAAGTAATCCATCATTCCATCCCAGATCTAATTACCTTCCGGGAGTTTCCCTTTGAAAACATGGGACATTTTTTATCCAGACCACAACAATCTCCCAAAGACCTGTCCTCTGAATGCTACTTCATCAGGACAAAGCCTTCAACCCATGGTCTTTTTCAGATCCAAACTACAATATTAAAGACCAAAATCTTCATAGTAGCTCGACAAAAATGACTCATCACATAGAAGGGATGTCATGATTTACAGTGGATATCTTGTCAAAATGACAGAGGACTGAAGGCAATGAAACTGTACAAACTCCTAATGCAAAACAAGGCATAAACCTAGTATCAAGTGAAACTATCTTTCAAAAATAAAGTCAAGCTGGGTGTGGTGGCACACACCTGTAACCCCAGCACTCAGGAGGCTGAGGCAGGAGGATCACTGTGAATTCGAGACCAGCCTGGGCTACATAGTGAGTTCCAGGTCAGTCTCAACTACATAGTGAGACCCTGTCTCAAAAAAACAAAGCGTATTAGAAATAAAGTCAAGATAAAAAAATCAGATTAAGTTATTAATATGTAAGAAATGTTAAAGTTCTCTGTGCTGGAAGGAAAAATATCATACACTAAACAAGACAAAAGAAAAAAACTAAGTACAATAAAAAACTTTATAAATAATACATGTTTTAATTTTTAAAAGGAATTCAAAGTAATAATTACAACACAATAGTTTGGATATATAGCAATTATATGCACGCTATAATATAATGTATATAACAATAATAAAAATGGGGAAAAGGGGGCCAGGGATTTAGCTCAGTGTTTCCGCCACCTGCTTTGCAAGCGCAAAGACCTGAATTTGATCCCCGGTACAAAAAAAAAAAGGGAAAAAGAAATTAAGCTATGTTGATGCAAAGTTGCTTTATTTACCAGAATAAGTAGTAAACTGATAGAGGTCAGGACAAAGTACAGACAAATACAGTAATCTCTGAAGCAACCACTAAAACTAAAAACTGAAAGAGATAAATCCAGAAGATTTAAATTTAAAAATTAAAAAAAAACGTGTAACCCAAAATAAGGGATGAATGGATAAAAGAGGACCAAAATCCATGAGAAATCTAGAAAACAGACAACAAAATGGCAGACATGATTGCAATTATACTGATATTTATATTAAATATAAACACTTCAATCACAAAAAGTTACTGTACTAAAAAAAACAGGATGCATATGCTTTCTACCAAAGACACATTTTAAATTGTCATAATAAACAGAAAAAGATGTATGAGTGACTACTAGACAGCTGATGTTTACAGTAATAGGAGAAAGAGCATACATTAAAATGATAAAAATGAAATATTTCAGAATGATAAAAGGGTCAACAGAGCAAGAAGACATAACAAATAAATACCATATATAAGCTTAGTAACAATCTCAAAATATTTAATGCAAAAACTGGCAGATTTGGAGAAGAGGTATTTCATGGAATGAAGGGTAAATATTCCTGTATCAGTAATGGAATAACCACATAAAAAAATCAGTATAAAATATTTAGAATACTAATCTGTAAAGACATACAATACACCAGCCTACACAACAAAATACACATGACTCCAATACACATGAAATATTTTCCAAGACACAATATAGTGTGTGTCAACTTCAATAAACATATAAAAGGTTAAATTATAACAATGTTCTCCAAACTACAGAAAAAAAATCTAGCTGAATAAAGAATCTAGCTGAATAAAAATCTAGAGTTGAATAAAGGTTTTTAGAACATAATCTCGCCCATTTACCTATTCTATATGGCTGCTTTCATGCTATAAATGCGTAAGTGAATAGCTATGAATTAAATCACTGGTATAGATAAAAATATTTAAATTCAGGAAAGTAATGGGATATTCTCCAGTGTTTGGAATTTTACAAGATACACATCAAAATAAATCATTGGTCAATAAAGATATCACAGGAAAATAAGAAAATATTGAGAATTAAATAAAAATGTAGCATAGTAAAATTTATAAGCTAACAGTATTTATCAAGGAGCTGCAGCTCCATACAGCTGAATTAGAAATGACAAAAATTCTAAACCCTCCACTCACTTCAAGAAACTAGAAAGAGAAAACTAATCTCATATTATTTTTATATAACACAATCAAACCACTTCATACATGAATGGAATACCAGTGTCATACTTAGCCCTATGAAATGCATTAACAACAAACCCATCACAAACAAATGATCCTCCATGTTTTATGAAAGAATTTTTTTTAAAAGCATTTAGTAAACACCTTATATCTCATACCTAAATCCTCTTGAGCTCAACCTCCCAAACTAGCATTTTAAATGTACTTAATTATTGCTATGGCTTGTACCTACATGTCCCTCCAAAGCCTCACTGTTCATAGTGGGGGGGCTTTTCAGAGGTGGATGGATCTAGAGTGTATGATGCTGGAGTTAAGTGTGTGATGCTGGGATCAAGTGTTTGTAGTGACTAAATTAGTCCACTGGTAGGTCTGGCATAGCTCTGGTCAGGAGTAAGGGGTCCCACTCTTTGTGTGAGTGCTAATCACCCTAAGGATGGTGTCTTCATAGAATATATGGGGTAGAAAGAGGGCTGCTGAGACTTGCTTGTCACTTGCTACTTTTTCACTACTTCACTGCTCTGCAGCCTTTCACCTACCATGGACTGTTTCTCCTCTGAGATGCCTTTTTGCCATGCTACCTTAACTTGGAGTCAGCCAACTGTGGAATGAAACCTCTACAAAATGTGAGCCAAAATAAACCTTTCTTCCTTTAAATTTGGGTGTTGGGTATTCTGTCTCAGCAATGAAAAAAGCAAATAAGGTAACTGTTAAATTAGAACTGAAAAATTTCTAGCCTCAGGATAATTTACCATGAAACATAAACTTAAAGTTGATGGTAATTATATCATGAATCTATACTCCCTCAAATTAAAAAGTTTCTAGCTCAGATTTATTTACTGAAACATTTCATTTTTAATATTAAAGTAAGCAAGGAGGACACATGCAGCACTGACAGAACACACCACCTCCAGCAGCAAATATGAAGAGGAAAAACAAGATAGGAAAAAGTGCTTACATAGTAGTTGAATAGATGTCACATGCACACAGACACATAAGAAAGTCATCTAACAACAGAGCCAGGAACTGCAGTGTTGTAGGTAAAAAAACAAGTAATGCCAGAGATTGCCAGCAAACCACCAAAAGTTAGAAACAGATTCTTTTCTATAGGTTTCTGAAACATCACAGTCTGACATATTTCAGACTTTACATCATCAAATTTCTAGTCTTTACATCATTGAGTCTATAACATTGCTACAGTAGCCCTAGGAAACTAACACAGATGCTCAATTATCATAGTTCTATACTTTTAATAATCAACAATTTAAAGCTAATATTTGGAAAAATTTAGATGAATGGACATTAATTGCTCTTTTCTGAAAAGCATGTGTGTGGTGGGAGCAGTGATTTTGGTACTTTGCATATAATTAAAGTATCATTTTCCTTAGTGGCCATGATGTGCTGCCTCACAGCAGTCCCAAAAGTGATGGAGCCAAGCAACGCAGGCTGGCTGACTAGATGAGGAGTCGCATCAGAGAAACTCAGAGGAGATTCACTAAAAGTACAAGTACCCTGATACAGGGGAGGTACTTACACCCTGAAGCATAAAATGAATCTGAAAGAGGATATATGTAGGTCAAACCAATTCATTACCTGGATCATTGACAAGGGGAAGTGGTACCAGCACAGCAGTCCACACCAGCCCTACCCTGCTCCTCAAGGGATCGGCCACTGCAAGTTTTCAAACAGCCTGAAAGAATGAACTGGCACCGCAGATGCCTATTTCCAGGGACAGATTCAGTGTATCAGCCCCTTCTCCCCAACCCCCCATCCCCCAACACTGGGGAACACTACATCCCTTCAGTATCCTCCCGGGTGTTGCACCAGGTGTTCAATGGTGGGCAAGACAAGCCCTCCCCAACTCAAGTGGAGAAGATAACGGGGGAACGGTGCCTGCCTGAAAACAGGGTGTCACCATGGCTTACATTTATAAGAGTAGGGTGAGACTGACCAGTTGATCCAGAGTGAGCTTTTTCCCTGTTTCCATAAAGACCAGAGAAACCCGAGTTAGCAGGAAATCCTAAACAGTGATTGTACTCACTATTGAGAGGCAGGGAGCATTAACCCAAGCCTGAGAACCACGGCCAATTCTGCTTGCTGGCTAGAAAAGGGAATTCTTGACACAAGATGGTCAGATTGTGGGACAGCAACCAATACTACAGCTAAAAATGCCCAACACACAACTTCCATTGAGATGAGATCAAAGAAAACTGACACCCCTTACCAGAAATGAGGGGGAAATCGTGTGGCTGCATACAGACCACAGCTGAAGCAGGAAGGGAACTGTGTGCACTTAGGTTTTATGGCACAGCAGATACAGGAGAACTGCACATCTGTTCTCTTGCTGGAGTGTTTGATCTGGGTTCCCACTAGATTTCTGTTTTAGTTACTCTTCTCTTTTTATACTTTGATGTTATTTTTTTCTCTCCTCTCTATTCCTTCTCAATCTTAGCTTTTATGTAAATATTATATTTTGCTAGTTTCTCTTTTTTAAAATTTTCAGGGTTTTCCCTTATACTATGCCTTTTCAGTATTTCCTATATTCCTCATATGACCTTCTTTTATGTTCTATTCCTTTTGCTCTTATTATACCTAGTCCTCTGCCTCTTCTCCATCTTACAAGTACATAAATATATCAATAGGTTCTAACAACATTGCAACTTTCCTCCATCCAAAATGACACCTTCCTCCTACATCCTGCCCTTGCCCCCACAAATATCTTCTTAAAACCCTCAACACTCCCCTTTACTCCAACTATAAAAGGCTCCCAACAGTCTGACCCCTCAATTTTAACTACTACTGCTCTTATGTACCTCTCTGCCTACTGAATTATATCCCTTTCACCCTTCTCTCCCAACTCTTCCCTTACCTTCTCCTTCCACATCCCAGAGTAACTATTAAAAACAATATATATCGACAAATGGTGGCGAACCTATGACATGCATGTTAAGACAAAAGATGTTCATGTATGAGTTCATTTCCTAAATCAAAACCTCAGTATTCAGGTTTAATTGCAGTGCTGGCATTTTATAATAAATAAGTGGGTTTTTGGTTGCAGTGTGGGTCCTCATATCTAAACACTGGTTTAGACTGTAAAAGGTGAATGTGTAAAGTAAGGCCGAACACATGTATATGTTGATGTTGTTTTACCCAGTAGTAATTCTCTCATCACAACACAGCAACCGGGTGCAAACCATTACAATTAAATAGTGGAAGGGGTGAAGACTATTTTTGCAAAAACAAACAAACAAACAAAAAAAAAAACAGGAACACATCACTGGAAGGCAAAATATAACTAAAAATCTTCATATCAAATACAATCTCATTAGGATCCCCTACTTTTAATGTTCATACAGAGATTTCTTTAACTGAAATACTGGTTTCTGTGGTGTGAAAAACTATAATAGTACACAGGATCCTAATGAGATAATTAATAATGGGAAATAGGAAGGGCTAAAGGTATAGGGAAAGTGGGAAGGGTGGGGGAAAGGTAATAAGGGAGAGAAAAAAAATGAGAAAATGAAAAAATGGAAATAAAGTGTTTGTAAATGGGGAGAGGAGGAGGGGGTGAAGGGAGGGCAGGGACAAGGGGAAAAATGAGAATCAAGACCTATCTTGAATGTAACTATATTGTATACCTAGGTTGTACCAATAAACTCAATTAAAAAAAAAAAATACAATCTCAGCCTCGTATGGTGGTACATGCCTGTAATCCCAGCACTTGGGAGGCTGAGGCAGGAGGATCGTTGTGAGTTTGAGATCAGCCTGGGTTGCATAGTGAGTTCCAGGTCAGTCTGAACTACATAGTGAGACCCTGTCTCAAAAAACAAAACAAACAAACAAATACAATCTCTCCTCACTCTACTTTGAGCACTAAAAATAAAAACAGAGAGATGGGGAAGAGGAGCGGAAGGAAGAGGGAGAAAAACAAGGCAACAAATGTCCCCAAGAACTCCAAACTCTCCTAAGGCAGGTCCAAGGGGGTACTGATGGAAAGCTTACAAAGATAGTGAGGCTTTATGAGCTGATTAAAGAAAAGGTAAAGAAATTAAGCAAGTTCAAAGAGGACATTACCCAAAAGTTCATGAACCTATCATAAAAACTGACCAATGTGCATATGGGAGAAACAAGTTGGAAGAGCAGGCCAAAGCAAAGCAGTTCAAAGAATGAATGACAAATCTATCAGATGTATCTCCCCACAAAAATGTGTCAGAAAGAAAAACAAAAGCTGTATGCAATTCATAAACTACAGAGATGACCAATGTGAAGACGGACAAAATGGTACATTACAACAAATTACTCAGAGAAGCTTTAAAAACAGTGAGATCACAAGACAAAGTAATCCAACAGTTCTTAGATGATGTTAAGACCAACAGTTTCTCTAGTGACAGAAACTGAAAGTGTAAGTAAGGATGAAAATGTGATAACAGATAATGTGAAAGAGGAAGAAAAGTCCTAAAGGGGAAGGAGAAGTGGGAAGGGTAGGGGAAAGGAATAAATATGAGAAAAGGAAAAAATGGAATCAAGTCTTTATAAATAGGGAGAGGTGGAGGAGCTGAAGGAAGGCAGGGGAATGCGAGGAAAAATAAGAACCATATATTATGCCAAGGTACATAATGATGTCCGCATATTGCATACCTAAAATGTACCAATAAAATTAATGAAAAAAACAGTTGAAGGGAGTGAGGAGTGGCAGGGGATTAAAAAAAGAATTAATTATTTATAGGTAACAACTCACAATGAATGTAATCATTATGTCCTGCAAATAGGTATTAATGGAAAGTAAGTAAATAATATTTTTTAAAGGAAAAAAAAAAAAACCTAAGGATAACTGGAGTTACAGAGAAATTATAAGACAGCACATAGGAAATTTTTTAAAAATCTGCTTAGAGAAAGCATAATAGAAAATTTTCCAAGTATGCAGAAAGATTGGAACATGAGGCTTAAAGAACTCTAACAATGCTTTAAAAAGAAGCTCCTCTAAACATAGTCAAAAGTCCCAATGCCCAATGAAAAGACAGAAGCAGGGTGTGGTAGTGCAAGTCTGTAGTCCCAGCACTGGAGAGGCTGAGGCAGGAGGATCGCCACAAGTTAAAGACTAGCCTGAACTATATAGTGAGACCCTGTCTCAAAAAAATAAAAGAAAGAAAGAACTCATATGGAACCAGCAGAGACTCAGAGTAGCAAAAGCAATCTGGGCAACAAGAGCACGGCAGGAGGCATCACAGTCCTGGACTTCAAGCTATACTACACATCTATAGTGATAAACATAGCATAGTACTGGAACTCAGACAGATATGAAAATCAGTGAAACAGAAGACTCAGAAAAAAACTCTACAGACGCATTCATCTATTTGGTCCTTAACAAAGGAGCCAAAAAGATGTTGGAGGAAAAACAGATGCTAAATATCTTTAGCAAATGGTGGTGGGAAAACTGGCTATCCACATGCACAAGATTGAAACTAGATTCATATCTCTCACCATGTACTCAACTAAAATAAAAATGGATCAGTGATTTAAATTCTAAAACAGAAACAATCTACTGGAAGACAAAGCAAGTAAAATCCTTGAAGTCATAGGTATAAATAGCAAGAACAAAATCAGATCAAGTTAAAAAGCTTCTGCACAGTAACTAAAAGTGTGCAACCTACAAAATATGAAAGATAAGCTACAAAATATGAAAAAAATTTTTTTCCAGCTACACCTTGGAGAACTAAGGGTTGGAGAGAAGGGATGAAAAAGATGTAAGATGTGTCATGTACTGATAATGAATGCAACCATTGTATGTTACAAACATGAACTAAAAAGCATACTAATAATAACGAAAATAGGGATCTAACAATGGTGGGAGGGGGGGAGGGAGAGAGGGAGAGAAGAGAGAATAAAAAGAACCAAGATCAGGAGGCTGAGGCAGGAGGATTACCACTAGTTCAAAGTCACCTCAAACCACATAACAAGGTTATGTTCCCCTTCCTGGTCCCCCCCACAAAAAAAATGAAAAAGGAAAAAGAAAGAAAAGAATCAAGAAACAGTATGTTGGCCGGGCCTGATGGTGCACACCTGTAATCCTAGCACTCGGGAGGCTGAGGCAGGAGTATCGCTGTGAGTTCGAGGCCAGCCTGAGCTACATAGTGAGTTCCAGGTCAGTCTCACTACATAGTGAAACCCTGTCTCAAAAACCAAAACAAAAAAGAAACAGTATGTTAAGTATATGCACTTACTCCCTAAGATGTAATAACATGTCCAAAAAACATGCTTAAGTCATAAAAAAAAAACATGTAACACAAGTTCCACAGAAAATGGGTAAAATTTTTATTTAAAACTATGGCATACAGTTACAAACATGAAAGTCCCAACCATACAAATTGTTTTATATACAGTATGTATGTGTATGTGTGTATATATATATATATATATATATATACACATATATATATACATGTCACACACACACACACACACACACACACCACATATACCCCTATTTAAATTTGCCTCGTCGTTTCATCTCTTTATTTGAGTAAAAAGAAGTATACTTTCCTCATTCAGGAGATTTTTGATGTTGTAGTAATTACCTAAGGGGGGAAAAATGATTACCATAGAAAACATTTCTTTTTGAGTAATCATTTGACAGTTACAATATATAACACAAAATAAAAACAATTTCCTAATTCAAAGTAACTCTTACTTCACAAACTCAAAAGAGGGCCAGAGATTTAGTTCAGTAGTTCCACCACCTGCCTTGCAAGCACAAAGTCCCAAGTTCGATCCCTGGTACCAAAAACAGTACCAAAAACAGAAAGAAAAACAAACTCAAAAATCCTACAGTTAACTACCACCTGTTGATCCTGATATGGCTTGAAAGAATATAAATATTACATCATTCTGTAACAAATGCATAGATAATTTAGAAAAGAGATAATTTAGAAAAGAGGAAAGAAAATATCCTTTGAAAGCAATCTTTATGAAATCTTTGGAAATGTTGTGGATGGATTCTCCTAATCAGATATATGCATGCTTCATTAATATATAATGAAGTATAAAAGGTACAGGTTAAATAATGACTTTAAATTTTTTAATTTTAAAGAGGCAATGGCAGGCGTGGTGGCACATGCCTGTAATCCCAGCTCTAGGGAGGCTGAGGCAGGAGGATCACGGAGAATTCAAGGCTAGTCTGTACTATAAAGGGAGAACTTGTCTCAAAAAACCAAAAAAGAAAAAAAAAAAGGCAAATGGTGCTGTTAACAATAAGGTAGTGGCTGGGGATTTAGCTCAGTAGCACCGTGCCTGTCTCACAAGTGCAAAGTCCTGGACTTGAGCTCCCGTACCAAAAAAACAAACAAACAAAAAACAAAAAACAATAAGGTCATGAATAACAGTAAAAGTTTAATACAGGTGGACAGCATTACAAATGCTAAGTTTATTAGGAATTGTGATTTTTCTATACATTCAAAATTGATAAAACCTAACCAAGTTAATAAAGTATTCACAATAGTGCTAGCATGTACTAAGGACTATATAAATATAGCTACTATCTTCTCCCTCCTTTATAGTTTAAAGTGTAAAGATTTTTTTTCCATGTTTTATTCACTTACTTATCCCTCAGAGTAAATCTTGGCCATGGTAAATTTTTTATTTTTGGTACTGGGAATCGAACTCGGGTCCTTGCGCTTGCAAATCAGGCAGCAGAACCACTAAGCTAAATCCCCAGCCCTACACAATGTCTTAAGAGATGACGTAGTGGAAATATATCCTGGAATGTAACGTACCACAATAAGTGACTCGATCTTCATGTATAAAACACTAATATAATTACCTAATGACAAAACAAAAGAAAATATGTACCAAACTGTTTTGGTATTGGTCATATCATACTTTGCTTTGACCATGGTGGCTTCCATTTTCATGGTACATGTAATTAATTATACTAATGTTTTAACTATGTGAAGTAAAATGTCTTCAGTTATTCTTACCTGAAGGAACATAGAATGAATCCCCAGTCGTTATCGCATAAGGTGTTTCATGTAAGGTACACAAAAGGTCACCAACATTAACATAAAAAACCTATAAAATTAAAAATAAAAATTTCATTTCAAAGTGAACCACAATGATACTCCAAAAACTGTTAAAGGAAATGCACTAGGCAGAACAGTGAGTTCTCATAGATACCCATGTTCTAATCTCCAGCACCTGTAAACATGCTACACATTACATGTCAAACAGGACCTTAAGATAAGGAAATTATTTGTTTTTGTCCAACTGTGTCCAATATAATCACATGAGCCTCTAAAAATAAAGAACTTTCTCCTGAAAGCAGAAAAATTAGTCAGAGGAATTTAAGGCATAAAAATAGACTTTCACTATTGATAACAGTAAAGAAAAGGGCCTTAAGCCAAGGAACACAGACTATTTCTAGAATATGAGAAGGACATCTTGACTAATGGCTACTCATCAAATGAGAACCTTAGTCTTACAAACTCATGGAACTAAATTCTGCCAACCATATAAATAAAAGTGGAACAAATAAATAGCAGATTTATCCTCAGAATCACCAGGAAAGAATACAGACTTGCCAATATCTTGATTCCATTCATAACCATCAGGGAAACACAAATTGAAATCACAGTGACATCACCTCACCAAAAATTATTATTATCAAAAAGACTAAAGATGCAGGGAAAAAAAAAAAAGGAATTCTTGCACACTGTATGGAAGTTCCTCAAAAATCTAAAATAGATCCTCTGTAAGATCCAGCAATCCCACAACTGGATATAAAAGAATCAGTATGTTGAAGAGACAGCTGCACTCCCATTTTCACAGCAACACTACTAAAAGAACCACCAAGAAATGTAAAAGAGTCTAAATGTCAATCACCTTATGCGTCAAGGAAGTGTTATAAATGTACCAGGGAGTTCTATTAAACATGTAAAAAAAATGAAATCCTGGGCCAGGGATTTAGCTCAGCAGTTTGGTGGCCTGCCTTGCAAGCACAAAGACCCGAGTTCAATCCCCGGTACCAAAAAAAAAAAGAAGTCCTGTCATGTGGTACCATGAATGAAACCAGAGATCACTGTGGTAAGTGCAACAAGCCATGCTCAGAAAGAACAATACCCTGTTATCTCACTCGTTTTTAAAAGTGCTAATCTCATCCAAGTTAGGAGCAGAATGGTGGTTACCAAAGATAGTAGAAGTAGGGGGGTCTTAAGTTGATTAGTAGGTACTAAATTACACTTAGATAAAAGAAAAAAGTATCAGTGTACTACTGCACAAAGAAGTTACCACTATAGTAAACAATAGGGTATTACACATCTCAAAAAGAAGACAGGTTTTGGATGTTTTTAATCATTAAAGAAATGATGACCGTTGGAGGATATAAATGTTTTATCTGATTTAAACATTATGCAACATATATACATGTATCAAAATATCACATATTACCCCATTAATATATATCATTTTATGTACAATTGTTTTATCTGTTAAAAAAGAAATTTAATAAAATATGCCTGGTTCAAATAAATATTTAAATTGTAAAAAAAAAAAGATTCAGAAAAACACAAATAGAATAAATGATAAAGTCCCACGCATACCTAACACCAACAACCTGTCCAACCCACAGCCTCTTCCTTATTATTCTGAAATCCAGGAAACTCATTCACAAATATTTCAGTGCATACTGAAATATTAAGTGCCTTTAAATATATAACCATTTTGTTATCAAACCTAAAAACAAATGCATATTTAATAGTCAATATTCAAATTTCTAACTGTGTCTGAAATGTCATATTTTCAAGATTAGTTTGTATTAGGATCCAAATAAGAGCCACCCAGTGACTAGTTATATCTTTCAATTAAAACAAGTGGCCTAAATTAGGAACGGTTTCTGGAGATGTATTTGACTGCTGTGACTGGAATGGTATTAGTGAGCAGAAACCAGAAAAGCCTGTAAGTATCCTGCAATGAAAAGGGCAGCTTCCCTATAAGAAAAAATTACCCAGGGCAAGGCCAGGGATTTAGCTCAGTGGTGCTGCCACCTGCCTTGCAACCACAAGGTCCTAAGTTCGATCCCCAGTACCAAAAAAAAAAAAAAAAAAAAA